GAATCTATTCCTGTAACCTACAAAGAGCTTTGGAGGGAACTGAAAGCAAAGATAACTGTTGCCCCCCAAAATCACCCCCTCACTCTGACCTAAATGTTGCTGGAAGAAGTCAGAAATTAAGCAGAAGGAAAAACTTCCCATTAACCCCCTGGTGCCACTCTATATCACTGAATTGGGGGAACTGGCTATGGTGGTAGGGAATGAAAGAGCATACTGTGTTGTGACTACCTCATTTCCCTTGTGTGTCCCCATCCCCATCACACCCCTAGTGCCCAGCCCTGGCCTGAAATGTAGAAAGAGGCTTTGCAAGTTCCACTTCAATATTTCAGACAGCTACAATGGATTTTGCAGCTCAATGTTAAGTAAACAGACCTTGCTTAAGCCTGGACTGCTTCATTTTGACTAAATCCTAACTAAATAAGCCAGTTGCATGAGGCACAGGCCTCCCAGCTTATTCCTTGCTTCATTAACACCTTTTAATCCCATCGGTACAATTGTATGCGCTCCACATTACCCTTCCCGGGTTTGGGTCAGGGTCCGCTGTGCTGCCACTACAGGTCAGAGAAGTTCCCAAACAACTTGCTGCTCAGCTCATCCCCATCTGGAGAGCTGGGAGGGGCAGAGCCCCTCGCTGGGCTGCAATTCCTCCTGCAAAGCCATCTGTAGGGAGAGTGGTGCCCTGAGCTGTGACAGGACGGCTCTGCAAGGATTAATGAAGAATTAGGAGTTGGGGTGTTTTAACAGGACTTGAATCTGATAGATGAAGTCCATGAAATGTCTGAAAAGAAGTACAAGGAACTCAGACCAAGTCCCTAGCTCCTCAGCACTCTGTGTGCAAAAGTCAGAGACAGTCACAGATGTACACTTAGCTGTGATTCCTCCTCCTACTGCTCCACAGTTAGAAACTTTACTGAACTTCTAGGGGAAAAAATGAATTACATGCTGGGCCCTTCCCAACTGTTTCACTGGTGAATATTGTTATTAAAATAGAAGAAAATTGTTAATGGTAAAAAAGAGAGTGAGGACACTTGAGTGAAGCTGTAGGTAGAGTGAGGGAATAGAATAATGGAAAGAAGTAAATTTTTCACAAAGTGCATAACTCCTTGCTACAAGATACTGTTGGGACAAAGATTTAGCAAGCCTATTGCTATAGTCTGCAGTAGTGTCCAGGCATAAAAGTAGCCATAAAGAAACAGTACTGGGACTTTCCACACTGAAAATAAGCACATTGTTGTGTATGGTAGGTAGGTAGCATTCAGCATTCTCTGCAGGTGTACCAGCCATTTGGCCCCAGAGTTGGCCTCAAATGCCTCCTGTCAGAAATAGGGTAGGCAGTCAGTGAATTTGGCCTCCAGCCCAGCATTAAAGTTACTCTCAAGATAGGGTATATCGTCATCCTTGCTTGGGTGACACGTGTTGCCTCAGAGTCGGCAAGTGGTACAGATGTGCTTGCCCTTTATTGGGCAGTTGCCAAGCTGCTATTCTGCCTGCAGCACTGGTCCTCTTGTGTTGCAGTGTCCCACAGCATGAGGAAAAGGCTAATGAAAGCTATGCCTGTGGTCCCAAGCCTCTCTCATGATGCTGACTTGTGAGCAGTTGCTTAGCTTGCTCCAGAGCTGGGTTCTTTGCAATTCCCAAAGATGTTCCCACTTACAAGCCCATCTGCCTTCCTTCTACTGACACGTGTTCCACCAAGCTGAGCCCTTCTCCAGCAGGAAAACTGAATTCTATCATTTGCAAAAGTAATTAATTTGAGGCAAGCTGATATGAAGGGTGTGGGAGATATATCTGTATTCATATTATGAATGCTCTGCGTATGCACCTCCATCTGCTTGCTGCATGGCTTCTGAACTTTTGCAGGAATAAAAGTTGATGGCCTTATCACAACGCCTGTAAGGAAGCCTGTAACAAAAATCAAATTCAGCTGGGATCTAGAGAAAAGAAGGGTGTTAGGTAAGGATGTGGGAGTGTGGGGACTTGGTCAAAATGTTGGGTCAACTGTGGGATTCCAGGGGAAATGGAGGCACATGAAATGTGGAGCTTAAGCTGCAGAGGGGTCCTTCCAAAGGAAGTCAGATATATTTGTAGTGAGTAACAGGCATTTAGAAGTGCTCCTACTGCTGCCTAGGCTGTTCTCTTCTCCATGGGCACACAGAGATCTTACTTGTGTCACTGCTGGCACGAAAAACACTTGTCATTATGAACCTGGGAACACAGTTAGTTTTTAGATTGTCTCTCAGTGTAGTTTCTTTAGGCAACTGCTTCTAGACATCATGTAACTGTGTTCACAGCATAGTCTCCCAAGCCTCCTTGTAACCCACTACCAGCAACTGAGATGTATTTTGTTCCTATGGCAACCCAAACAATATTACCTTGACTTAAACGGATTCAGGCAATATTAAAACCAGCCTCTTTAGGAATTCCTGGTGTTGGAGGGGCTGAGAATTTTAATTTTGTGTAATGCGAGCTGACACCGTGTTTATGAGCTGCTTGCTGAATGTTTTCTTCAATTAGTACAAAGCAGAGTGGATTTGTTTTCGGGGCTTAGCTGGGAGATGGAGGGTGTGGGCCTTGCAATGCCAAAAGCATTATTGAGTTATGCTGCAACTGTGCTTCCCTCACCTGATAGCTGCAAAGAAGCCCTTTTCATGGAAATCTGGCATATGCCAGGATCTTTAAAAAAAGGCTTGCTAACTGCCTCGTCCTAACAGCAGCGGGATGAATAGGCTCGTTGCTTTGCAAGTGAACAGCTCTCTTTTCCCAGCTCCACAATCTGTTTCCAAGTTTCCTTGTTCTGCTCCATACTTCTCACTATCGGCATGCCCACTGCAGCCCCCCCAGTACACACGCTCAGATGTCACCTGCCTCTGTACTAGTCTCTGCCAGATACCACACTCAAAGCCTTTCTTTATCTGCCCTGCCTAAGCAGCATTCTGGATATTTTGCTCAAGCAGCCAACAATATTATTGAGGCTAGAAATATAAAAAGGCCCGAGGAAGGCTTAGGCATTTATATGGATAAAAAGAATTAATAAAATGGCAAAGTTTGGTAGTAGATCTAAACACTTGTAAAGGAAGTGTGAAATAAGACAGGGAGTTTTCCTATCAGTGTCTTCCTAAAGCATCCTGTTCCTTACTTGGAAACAGTTGGGTCAGGATACTGAATTAAGTAAAGCTTCTGTCTGACAGGCCTACGTTCTTAATGTTTCGGTCTCTGGAATTGTGGCTCTGGTGCTGAACCAGCTCGGCCTGGGTGTGTTACAGGAGTAAACATGTCTCAGGAAAAAAAAAAAAAAAAAAGTAAGACCAGATGGGAATTTGGGGCCAGCTTGTCTCTAAGTCAAATGATATTCATGTCAGTAGATTCAGCTACACAGTAACGTATAAAGAAGCAAGATAGACCTTCTTTTGGGGACAGTAATTATCCCAGCCAAGATGAAAAGAAAATTCAATACTTACTTTTAAACTTATTGTTTGGAGGATAAAGGACAGAAACTTTGAAAGAACAATGTGATTTCCCACAACTGGCATAACTAATAAGAAGTAGTTATTTAAAAAAATAGGCATGACAAAGTCCAGTTGCTGGGCACTGAGTTTAGGAAAATTCAAATTAGAAATAAGAAATTAGCTGGTAGTTAGCCTCTGGAACCTCTTCCAAATGGATGTGACGGATTCTCCTTCACTTGGAGCCTTCAAACTGCGACCAGCTGTCTCTGCCTAAGCAGGTTGCTGTATCTCCACTTCCAGCAAATGGGCTTGAGATAGGAATCCCTGGGTGAGATTCTCTGGGTTGCAATGAACAGGAGGTCAGACAAAATGACAAAATTATGTTCCATCTGGGCTTAAAGTTTAGGAACATTAATAACCTAATACTTAGTAATAAGTCACATATTCCTGACTGATTGCAGATAGTCATGATTATGGAACGGCTTTTTTTTTTTCCTCCCCTACTTTTGCTGTAACAGAAGGATGTTGGTGTTAGGAAAGGAACAGATTTGGACTCAGCCCAGATTTGGACTGGGACTGTGCCTGGAACATGCTTCCAGTTTGCTCCTTGATGAGATAGTGAGAGGTTGTGGCTAAAAGGTTGCTTTTTACTCGCAGCTTTTTCATCTCAAATTCAATTATTATTTTCCAAGTGTGAATTACAGAATAAAGACAAAGGGGGGGGGGGAGAGAAGGAGAGAGAGGGACATGCATGCAAACACACACACTCACACAAAGGAGAGAGAAATCCCACACCATTCCAGTTGGAATGTCCCAGACACTTCAACCGAAAGCCACTGCACAGCACAAATCCATGGTGGTATTTGGAAGGGATGAGCCCACCCCTGTAAGCCTCTTCATCCTGCTCCACAGAGTTTGCCAGGAGGATTAACCTAGTCTTGTTCTCAATCCCAGTTTATGAGTTCCCTGCTGGTGGGGAAGATCCTGTGTGTTTAAACAACAGCCTAATTAATCCCCATTTTATTACTTTCTCTTGTCAAGTGGCTAAATAGAAGCTGTCAGCCGGCAGCCACCACCGCTCACATTTGTTTAGATCCCAAATTACTTCATCAGAACCATCTGCTCTGTACGCTGGGCGCTCAGCAGTTGTTTATTTCTCTCTCTGGACATGGTGTGGGGCACAATTAGCCTCCCTCATGGGATTCCCTGTTCAAGGCCCATTCAGGCCCTGGGGACTGTCCTGGAGGAGTCATAAAGAAAGTCCTGTCACTAAGACCAACCTAACATAAGGCCAAGAAGTGAACAGCCCTAGCCAAAAAGGGGAGACCTAGAGCTCTGTACTGTTGGGCCAGGCAAGTTTGTGTTCCTCCCCGGGCTACAGAAGGTCTGAAAGCACTGGAGCATAGTTATACACCTCTTGCTGGGATGTGCTAGCCTAGCTCCACATATCCACCTCCCTCTTCCCTTGGCTCCCTGAGCCCCAGCCCAAGGCTGGGCTTCGTGCTGCCCTGTGAGCCCTGTCCAACTGCCTAACTGCAGGGAGCTTCTTTGCAGGCTGTTCCAGACCAAGTGCAGTAGCTGCTTGAAGGCCATCGCCCCCTCTGAGCTCATCATGCGGGTGCTGGAGAACGTCTACCATGTTCACTGCTTCTACTGCTGCGAGTGTGAGCGCCGTCTGCAGCGGGGAGATGAGTTTGTACTCAAGGAGGGGCAGCTGCTGTGCCGCAGCGACTATGAGAAGGAGAAGGAGATGCTGAGTGCTATCAGCCCTGCACCCACTGAGTCTGGTGAGGGGCTGGGGCTGGAATGGTGCTGAGGGTGGGCAACCAGGCAGGCAGGGTGGGCCTTGCAGAGGGCAGGTACTGCCTGGTCCACAAGGACCACAGGGCAGGCTTCAGAGACAGGAGATGTGGTCAGGCGGGGGGTTGTAGCATCCTTTCCCTTTGGTGATAGGTAGGCAAGGGGTGGCTCTTCGGTTGGCAGGGAAGAGGGTACCAGGCTGCGTACATCCATTCGCCTGACATGGGGAGGTTTGGATGGGCTGACTTGAGACATTATAGAATGGAAGATACAGGGCCAGGTAGGCCCATCAGTGCTGTCTCCAAAGTGACAGAGTGCTCCCCCTGAGCCACAGCTCTGTATAGGAACTCTCCTGGCTTCATTCTGTGCTTCTGGTCTAAGTCGCACCTGGAAGGAACAAAATTCCCACAGTTTCTCTGAATCCTTGCCCCGGGTGCTGGCCCAGAAAGGCCACTATTTGCTGAATCACTGCTACTGATCTTCCATTGCAGTAAAAAGTGAGGATGAAGATGGTAGCCATTCACACAGCAAAGGCAGCGAGGAGAACAAAGACCACAAGCGCTCCAAGCGTCCACGCACCATCCTTACCACACAGCAGCGGCGGGCATTCAAGGCCTCATTTGAGGTTTCCTCAAAACCTTGCAGAAAGGTATAAGGAGGCAACTCAGCACAACCACTGGCCTGAATCCTTTTGAGTGTAACTAAGTTCTAATCCAGTTCTCCATCCCCTCTTCATTTTGTGGGCAGGTGAGAGAGACCCTTGCGGCTGAGACAGGCCTGACTGTGCGGGTGGTACAGGTCTGGTTCCAGAATCAAAGAGCCAAGGTGAGTGACAGTTCCCACCCCACAGCTGAGCTCTGGATTCATGTGGGATATCGCACAAACTTAGAAAACGAGAAAATGGTTAGAGGAATAGAACAGCTATACAGGTTCAAACCACAGGTCCATCTAGTCCTATAATCTTTGTCTAATAGTAGCGCAAGCTTAGGGAGGAATATAAGAAACCAGTTATGTATAGAAGTTTGCAGAGTTTAAATTGTTTCATGTGTTGATTTTTAATTATTTTTCCCACTTGCTTTTTTCCCCTCCTCTCACTGTGTGAGATCACAGAGATTAGAAGCATTTGCCACTTCTTTCTTTTAGAAGTTGCAGGGAAAACCATTTATAATTTTGCAGAATTCAAAGAGTGAAAACACAAAAAGTGTGGCTTTGAAAAACTTCACTTGGTAGTAAATTAAGTTCATTTCCAAATTGCAAATGGCATCCTCCACAAAGAAAATACAACTTTTCCTGTCACCCCCACTTCTCATGTGGTTTGTACTGGCCAACTTCAGGGAACAGTGACTGCAGGTGCTGCATGAAGAGTTGCCCAGAGGAGTCTAAGCAGTATTATATCGTGGAAGTGCTGGGTCACTGGGAAAGGCAGGTGACAGATGTCTGCAGCTGTATTAAATGCAGCCCGTTCCTCTCAAAGTCAGAGCCTAAGAGCAAATCTGGGGTCTCATTCTCCTTGCAGATGAAGAAGATTGCTCGCAGGCAGCAGCAGCAGCAACAGCAACAGCAGGAGCAAGACCAGCTGGGCAACCCTCGCTTAGGGACTGGGAGAGGGACTGGTCGCAGCAGCAGGCAGAGTAATGATGATAGCGAAGGTGAGGAGCAGCTGTGCACTGTGGCAGCTCTAGGGGCTGCAGGCTGGGATGGAAGGGATTGGTGGGAGTTGTATGTGTTTGAGAGAGAATGTGCACATGAACAGATTAGTGAAAAGGATGCAGGCTGTACCTGAATTGACGCGCAGACTGTCTATACGTTGGGGTAACAGCAAGCTGGAATAACTAGATTGTGTTCAGCAAGATTCATGGGTACTCATGATGCAGCACAGATCTCCTCTTCTTGGGAAGATGATTTTTTTCCTGTTGCGTGTTTGCACAGAGCCCAGAACAGTGCAGTGCTGATCCAGATTTAGACTGGCAGACACTGCTGCAGCAATGTGAATAAGTTATTGCAATACTGCTGGGGCCCACCTCATGCTGTGCATCCTCTGCTTCAACCCATCCCACTGATTGTGTCTTTAGATGGTGCGAGTGTTCATGGCCTGGATGGGCTCATGGTCCCCTATCCCAGGATCCCCCAGCAGCAGCTGCTGCCCCTGGATCAGAATGGCTACAGCACAGACTTGTACAGACAAGGGCTTACGCCACCCCAGCTGCCAGGAGACCATCTGCACCCCTACGGTAGGAGAGTCGTGTGGAGATTGTCATGTCTCTGCGTCAAGGCTGCATTTAAACAGTCCAAGTCATGAAAATCCAACTCAACTGTTACTGCTGATGATGAAGCCAATGGTAGTGAACAGTTCATGGACTTGGGCTTTGTGCAAAGCCTTTGTCAGAGGAAGCTGGGTGAGGCCTAGGCCTCAGACTGAGCTCTGCTAAGGGCTGAGGAGTGAGGCTCTGGTCTTACTTCTGTCCAAGGTGAAATGTCTTGCTGAGGGAAGAAACGGTTATGGCTACTGCTAGCCCTGTGCGTGGGGCTCGCCTCATGCTGGGCCCTGCTCAGGATAACTGTCACTCCAGGTTAAACATGGCCCTATGGTCATTCTTTCTCTGTGCAACAGTGACACAACCGCTCCTCACTAGACATGCTCTTGTTACGTTCACACTAATTTCCCTTTTCCTCTTCTAGACTCAGAAGGAGTTTTTCACGACATGGACAGTGACAGCATCAGCCACCTGGGAGACTGCCTGCTGTCAACAGCTGAAGCCAACCTCCTCCAGGCTCGAGTAGGTAATCCCATTGACCGACTCTACTCCATGCAGAGCTCCTACTTCACATCCTGACCATAGAAAAGCTCCCAGCTCTTCATGAGCATCTTGGATAAACGCTGCTCCAAATTCCGAATAAGGGTGAGGGAGAAGAAACAAGACTGAGACCTTCAGAGACACTCATTGAATACTGCACAATGGAGGATGCAACTGAGTTTGCCAAGCGTATAAGCACTAATTCATAGAGACCTTCCACATAGCCTGGAGGACTTTGGAATGCTTCTCTCCTTTTTTTTCTAGCCACAAGTAGATGGATGGTATGATGTTGCTTAGCTGTAACTTTAGCAGTTTGTCCAGCGTTTAAGCTTTTGAGCATATGGCCTTCAAACAAAGACTGGCCAAGCTAACCAGAGTTGCCCCTAGAAGTAGCAGGTCCCCTTCCTCTGCCAACTATGTTTATTTAAGTCTTGACTGCAGCTGAGCTGTTTGCTGTGCTGTTTTGCCCCTTTTCCCAATCCAGATGCAGACTTCATGGGACAAGGTTCATTTCCAACAGTAAAGGCCAAAGTCCTGAGGCATCTCTAAAGGATGCCACTGTTGCCTCAGAGACCTTCTTCAAGGTTGTCAATTAGTTGGCATAGGATGATTTTTTTTAATGTTTGACACCTCAGAAATGCGTGATAGTTTGGCCCTTGAATGAAATGGCTGTGCTTGGGTATCCACTTAAAGGAACAAAAGAATATTTATCCTCTGTCTTATTCAAGGATGTCAAGACAAGTGCAACACATCCAGAGCGTGCTCTCGATTGCCTTTATGTCCTTCTTTCTCTAAAGGGGCAATTTTACTCCCTTTGTGGATGGAACAAAGACTTATCTTCACAAAACCACAGTTTCCAGCTACGCTAGTTTCTGCTTGTTTCTTTTTCAAAATAGCAGAGTGAAACAATTTTAATCTAAAAATATTCCTACTAGAAAAGCCTTCTTCTATATTTCTGTCTTCAGTAGGGTTTCCCACCCCGACTCTGCTTTCAGTTCATTGAAGGCATCCTAGCAGTTTTCTTCCCTCCAACAAGTGATGAGAGAAGGAAATGGAATTGCATTATCTCAGGATGTGTCCATGCCAAGTCATTTCACTCATTCACTACACTTGGTTTTTGCTTTGAGGGCAACTCACTGGTGACAGCAGACTTCAGCTAAGAGAAAGGCATGCCTCCTCTGTGGGTAGAAAGAAACAATACCTTTTCTCCACCCATCATGATGTCTTTCTGCATGGTGCAGCTGAGCGTTACAAGTAGATGGGTACCAATGTGAGTACCCATAAAAGGTAAAACAGGAAAGAGAGAGCAGAGAATGGACGTCTGAATTATCACCAAAAAGGAAATTCTTTATTCTCCTGCCCAGGACCCAAGCCTGGGATTTGGTTCTTTATATATATGAAGGAAAGCTGGTATTCCTAAAAAGGGCAGGTGTTCCCATGAGCCTACTTAAGCATGCCAGCTGAAGGAATAAGGTCCTCCAGAACTAAGTTCCCTTGTCTGTTTGAACAGACTGAATGACTGGCAGACAACGCCAAAAGGAAATAATGACCTATTTTTAAATCTGGATCTCAAGAGATGCGAGTCCAGCATTGAAACCAGAGAAGCTGGCTGACTGATGTTTCTGTATGTGGTGTTTACTTCTAAGCCTCCACAGGCTTGTCAGTCTGATTTTAAAGATGTGCATCCTCTCAAATGAAAAGGAAGAAATGGCTAATTACTGTTGTTACTGTGGTTATGGAGGAAGATACCCAGGAACTATATAATACTGGATTTTGGATGAAAGGACACACAATCCTGATACATTTTGCTTTTTATCAGGAATTCTTCGCCTTCTCATGACAACTCATAGAGAACTGACATAAAGAATGATGTGTAACAGACCTGCAACCCCTATAAAGCTTACTCCACCACTGCTTCACCTTTAATAAAGCTGTGTGAATGTGACACTTGCTGATGTGCAGTCACTTGCCCTTGTGTTTACAGAGCCGAATTCTGTAGCTGGACTTTCCTTTGCTGTCAGTATCAGATGTTTTTCCCCAGATGGCAGTTGTGTAGTTTAGACACTTTGACATTTCTTTTCCAGAGGGAAGGGGGAGCCTCTTGCAGAAACAGCAATTTATGACATCTATTTACCCAGATATATGAGTTCTAAGGTAGGTTTTACCCATTCATTCCAGACCAAGCTGCTGCAGTTGGTTGATTTCCACCTTTGTTGTGTGGTCATCCATCCATAAGAAACGAGACTGAAAACTCCTAAAGCTGTACGTTTCTTTTGGTGGCTCTTGCACTAGAGATGGTCTCCGTTTAGATTAAGTTTTAAGAGAATGTTACAGTGAACTATGTACAAATTTATGTTTCTTCCAAATACTGGAGCCAGCTTCACCCACTGAAACCCTACCCTCTCTTCATTGTGATCTAGTGCTGTGATGTGCCAATGTTTTTTGCATGTACATTTGAAAATAAAAAGCAAACTTGAAGTGGAAATTCTAAAGCTTGCCTCAGCACAGTCAGACAAACTGCATGCACGAGTGGCCAGCGCAAACCACACCCATGCAAGCAGGTCCATCTAACTCTGTGCAGTTGCAGTGAAACTTGGCCCAGGCTCCTCAGGAGGAGAGCCCATCAGACCGTTACCTTTCCCAGGAACTAGGTATCCTGGAGCAATTGAGGAACTAGTGTTGGCAGCTGTTCATCCTTTAATACAGAGTCAGCGAACTCAGAAGGAGTTACAGTTAGTTGCAAGAGAAACAGGAATCCCAACATGTATAAATAATTAAATATGGTAACTTTTGTGAAGACCTATGCTAGACATGGAGCTACTGATGCAAAAGAGGCTGATGTTCAAGTACAGTTCAAGTACAGAAGCCACTTATGAGATTTGTTTCCTGTAACTAAGGAAGGAAATGAGCACCTCTTAGGTTACAGTTACTCTCCAGTTGAGCCCAGATACTGCTTGAAACAGGGATAGAGAAATCAGAACAGCAGGCACCAGAACCACAGCTGACATTGTGAGAGCCTGGAAAACTAACAGGCTTGACAAGCAAGTCCTGCTGCTTCTCTTAGAAGAGAAACATCATTTCAGAGGGACAGAGAGGCTTTTAACATCAACATCATAACCAGGTATCAGTTCAGTGACTGCAGGCAAATCTATTCCCCACTTTATTTTGCATCAGTAGGTCTTCTGTTCTTGCAGTGACAACAGACTTGGGGCAGATACTGACAGGAGCGTCACTGAGCAGCAGCTCTGATAAATGGGAAGAAGCAGAAGTAGCTTTGTGAGTGTGTGCTACATAATCCTTTGCATGTCATGGTGCAAAAGGGATCCGACCCTTTTGCACCCAAGGGATAACAAGCTGTACCCCAAAGTACCAATGGACATCAGCGAGTTAAGTCACATGGCTATCACAGGACTTGGAGAAAGTATGCCTGTTAGGAAATACTACCACAAACGGGCAAAGCCCGCTCAGCAGCGGAGGTAGGAACACAGAATCGTAGGCACTGTGGCCAACACTCACTTTTTAGCGTTCCCATTTTGCTCTACATTGTTCTCATCAAGCAGGGAAATGCAGGTTCTTGGCTGGGACATACCAATATATTTGCTGAGAATGAGGGTTTGGGAATCCCCGTTGCACACTGAAATGCCCAGACGTGTTTCTCTCGTCTCTCCAGAAAGGAGAATAAAGGTCAATAACAGCAAATAGAGGTGCTAGACTGACCACGAGATGAAAAGCGCTCCCTTTTGTCCATGCAACTTCCCCCATGCTTACAAGTGACTCAGAATCATCTGGACAACAGCCAAATAAAGCAAACGTGTGTGTGTGTGTGTGTGTGAATGGAATGTGGTTCTGCACAGCTCTCTGCCCTCTACAGTTGCCCATTTCAGACCTGGGCCTGCCAGCAGCACTAAATCTCTCCCTGTGACTGCAAACACCAAAGAAACATGCTGATTTATGGTTCCTTTAAGTAAGAGAAGCAGAGTGTAAAATGAGAGCATTTTCTGGATGAAAAATTAAAGAGATGTTTTTGTTCGTTCCTCATTCTAAGATCATGTGTAATTTACCTTATTGGTTTTAAAGTTCCACTTGAAAGGAAAAGTGACATCAACAGAAGTTAAAGAAACAGGCTGAACAAAATCCTGACATGTTTAACTTCATATTCTGAGAGACCTACACCAAAAAAATGGAGGAAAAACAAAGCAGAGAATTACCTAAACTAATGATCCATGGCTTTCTCTTAGTTAAGGATCTCAGAACTCCTTGCATGCATTAATTAATTATCCCTCATTACTCTCCATACAATTAGGTGTTGTTTGTTTCAGAGAGTAGGCAGAGACAGAGAACACAGAATGACTAGCTTTCTAAGGCCACACAGACAGACAATGGAGAAGTCAGAACAGAAAAACTAACATCCAGTTTGCTTAACTACCAGCCAAAATGCACATACGACTGAAAACGGAGTCCAGAGCAATTAAAAAGAGGAGAAAACATAGAACACAGATTTTTACCTAGCAGAGAGTAGGCAAGCCCATGCTAGAAGCCAAGTGATTTGAAACAAAACTACTACAGTGACACAAAAAGACTTTTGTGTGGATGAAGGATACCTTAGACCAATTAACCCCCGAGCGAGAACACTTATAAAGGTTTATGAGCCTGCTTTCTTAACAGTTCTCAAGCATCTTAGAACTTGGTCCTTTGGGTTCTTCTTGATACTGCAGGGCTTGAGTGTTTATTTCTGGTCTGCTTTGTGTTTGTGAGGAGGTGAGAACACCAATCTATCTGAATCCTGGTCTAAATCTTTTTTTTTTTTTTCCTGAGTCTCCCTCTCCAGGAAACGTAAGCTTATTCACTTATTGATTTCAGCCACTTGGCATTAATTTAGCTGAATCTCTCTGCAGCCTTTGGAGATAACGCTGAACCTACCAGTTCGATTGACTGCCTGAGGACTTTTTCCCTTGTTCAGCCTGATGCCAGTAACCATCCTACTTCTAACAGCTTTTTGCATTTACTTCTACGAGCCTGTCCTAATTGAATTATACGTATCCTGTACATTGGCTCTGAATACGCGTGCAACAGTATCATAATTCCGTGGTACAGGAATGAAGAGAACACTTCCTGGTTTTTAATACTTGTCTGATTCTCAGGTTTTCAGAGGTCTCCCTTGCCAATTTACACTTTGTGAAAGATACTGGAGCAATCAGTGCTCCTTTTAGGAAATGCTTTTATCACTGAATATGTTTCCAATGACAGGACCAAGAAACAACAGCTGGATTTGGAAATAAAAGCTTTGCATTGCCAGATCAGAGCGCTAGGCTGTCTAATCTAGATCTCTAACACTCACAGGAGCCGATAGCTTATGCTTCAGGGCACTTGTTGGCCCTGGGTATCTGGCTTTGCCTTATTTCCAGCTGCTAACATGCATCCAAGCAATCAGATACACAGCAGCCCTTCCCTCATATTTGTCAATGTCAGCAATCGCTGTAATTGCCACTCCAACTTTATCCCAGCAAAAAGCAGGAACAGGTAGCCCAGGAAGCTAGAAAGAAAAGGAAAAATAGCTGCAAAACTGCTGCTGTTAACACGCTTCTCACTTGGAGGAGGTCTTAGCCCCTCAGCTGTGATTAATCAGGCAGTTCTGCACGATATAGCCATGGATTCCTTCGAGGCTAAGAGGAGAGCAAGAGAACACTCCTTGGCTCCTGCCAGCCATTATCTGGCAGATCCAGTCTAAGGAAAGAAGATTGCTAGTGTTTCCTTCACAGTATAAGAGCATTTTCTTCCACTTTTCACAAAGGTACTTGCCAAACTTGATAAGGCTACAAGTTGATCTAGTCCAGAAGACCTGGTAAACTGAGGAAGGCAACAATTTCAAGTAGTGGCCATCACCACAATAATTCCCTATAAGGGAAGGTTCTGTCCTGATTCTCTGCCACATGAAGTTATGCTACATTTGTCTAGTGAAAAGATGTATGAGAACATTCTTTATTCAGAATTACACCTGCACAAGTAATTTCTGTCCTTGACTGCACATGGAAACAGAGTAGAGCAACATCTACCTCTCCCACCTCTCCCTAGTAACAAGTTAACTGAACCCTGTGAGAGTTGGCTCATCAATGGCAACAGCAAGTGCCTGGCAGCTCAGTGGTTAATGTGTTAGACTGAGCAAGTAATAACAGAGTGGCTCAGGCTCCTGAGAAGGAAGAGACATAACTGGGCTTAAGAGGAGGCCCAGTGCACCTTAAACATAATGAAAAATGGCTTTTCTGCTGACAGGCTGACATTTCAATACAATGTCAACAACATGTAAAGCACCTTCACTCCTGTATAATGGCATCCTTAATAAAGCTATTCACACCACAGACATTTATGACTAATCAGGTGCTGCCTGGTATAAATAATCTCAAGAGACAGACTAAAAATAGATTTCCCCTCTTGTTCTCGTAGCAGGTGCCTCCTCTCTAAATTCACTTTGAAGCAAAGCTACCGCTGTCTTTTCCCCCCAACTTTCCTGCCAGTAGATGAAACAGCTCTTTACATGTTTCAATGCACAGAATTTTACAGAAAGAGAGAAGTAAAGTGTTTTCTGCAAGGGCACATGTGTTGTTAGACATGACCCCAGCATCTAGGTATGCAGCAAATCCCATCACTGCTGAAATGCAGCCACCTCTGTGAGACAGATGACAGCAGCACTGACAGCCAGCTTCATGCTTCAAGCTCTGCTAGAAGCTGGAACAGATAAACTTCAATCTGTTGCCCCTCTCCCCAGAGGCGTTAAACTCTGCCCAACTGCAGAAAGCAGAGTAATGTTTGCCAAACACCACATGCTCAAAGGCAAAAGCCTGGACTTGCGCCTGGCTGAAACACGAATAAGGATCAATGCAGCCTGGGCAGGGGGTGTGAACCCCTTGCGAACCAGGTTAAAGTCAAGTTTCTTGGTCTAAGAGAGGCCTCACCCTCTCTTAGAAGCACAAAAGCCTCATACTAAAAACGCATCAAAACTATGCTAAACTTTCAGACAAAGACTCTGCTGGTGCTGTACACAATATAGTTTCTGCATGTGGTTTGGTGCTGCACATTTTGGAAAAGGCTTGGTTTATGGTCCCCCATCACTGTTCTGAAAGTCAAAGTGCCTATTCTCAGCAGCAGCAAAGCCTTCGCTCTCAAGCTTAGCAGATGCTGTGTTTGTATAAGAATAGAGACGGCTCATCTCTCCTTCTTTATAACCTGGCCTGCAAGTATCCCACAGGATTCTTCAGAGTTTATGAAGACCCAACTTCTCCCGGTTGTTCTTGGTCCCACTTACACATACAGCACATTAAACAGAACTATAGAGATTTTCAGACGTTGGCAGACAGGAATAGACCTAGTTTGCAGTGCCTTGCAGCTCTCCCTCTGCCATCAGTGCATGCAGTTGGAGATGCTCATAGGTCTCATGAGTCCTTGTTCTTAATTCATTCCTCTTAAGACAATCCAACGTTTCTCATATTGTTTTAATTCTTCTTCCATTAGTTACAGTCCAGAAGCAATCTCTCCTTCTACCTGGGTTCTTTGTTTCCCTGTGTAAGAAGAGTGGTGGTCACCCCCCACCTGGCATTTAAAGATCCCTGTTTGTTGTGCTGTTGATAGAGCAGTCAGGTCTTGTGCAGCACTCTGCAGTTCAGTTATTCTGCTCTCTCCGCTGACAGAAAGACTCCCTCTGCTGGTCTTAAAACAGCACAAGGCACTGGGCTACAGCCCTTCCCTCATAGCACCTCCCAGCACAACAAGTTTTCAGGTGGGTCAAGCTGGGACCTTCATGAATCCCATCAAGAACTTTCACTCTAGTTGGCCCAGGTCAGAAAGCAGCTCCCATCATCAGCAGGCAAAGCCAGACCTGGCTTTTGAGCTTCAGAAAGTGTTTTTTTCTAACTGGGATGAAGAAAAACATTGCAATTAATTATCAAAGAAATTGTTGAAGAATACAGGCGGCAGAAACAGAGACAAAGTCTGATTTCAGCTTTCTGTTCCTATTCAAGCACATCTACAGGTTGCTGCTGATCCTTTAGTAGTACTTCAACACAGTTCTGTCATTTATTCACTTATGATGCTGTTAAGAGCATGGGGCACCAGCAGGCAAAACCGAGTGTAAAAGTGCTGACAGATCAGGGATGTTCTGACACCCTGATCAGAATCCAGCTGCTTGCTTAAGACAAGTGTGAACAGAACCAAGAGAACCACATCCCTGGGCATGGGCTGTGCTCCATTTCTCAGAGGAAAAAGAAACAAAGCGAGCATGGGAATGATACTCCAGAATACAGAAAAACTTTTCATTCATTCCTGAAGATGAATTTTAATTCCAAGGATCCCCTATGAAAAAACAGCAAAAATAAAAGAATCAGGTAGGCTCTGTGTGTATGCAGCACCCTAACTATGAGGTACAGTAGATTACTACTTCCGGTGATGGGAGTCTGTCACATGCTTAGTAACATGTTATTTATGTTAGCGTTGCTTCATAGCAGTTGATAAGACATTCAGCAGTGTTGAGTGCCACAAGCTGACCTACCTCAACAAACTCATCCTGCATGTATTACTATAAAAAACAGATGATCAGGTTAGTTAACAGAGTTGGATGAAAATTATGACTGTAAGTCAGCATGACCGCTTTCATCCAGAACAATTTACCACATGGTTATCAGCTCGAGCCAATACTAAAAATGACCCAGCAGTTACCCTCAGACACGCGTTTAGAGGCCTCGGAGAAAAAAGATGTTGCATTCACTTCCATAACGGCTACACACATGTGAAATACTTCCCCTGACAGTCCATGTCCATGGAGCGCCACGCTTTTAGCACATGTACTTAGTGGCTGTGCTTGACATCTTTGTGTGAGGAGATTAGGGCAGAATTTATGAAGACAGGAGGAGGAGGAGAGGGGCAAGAAACACAGGCCTATGTGTATTCCAGGCTATAATGTCCCCATTCCAGGTGATTAAACCAGCAGCTCGCAAGCAGGTGTGGTGCGTGGAGGGCATCTGTGAACACGAAGGCTCCGGACAACAGTTCCGGGCTGCAAACGACCTGCTGCTCACCTCATGCGGAGAGCTTCACCTGATCGGCGCAGAGCAGAAACCGGTTGACGTGCTCAGTGCAGTTCACCACGGAGGCCTGGTTCTCCTTGAGGCACTGCTCGAAGGCGGCGAAGGGCTCGGCGCAGTCCTGGCGGATCTGCTGCACGATGGGGCTGCGGGACAGGGCAGGGCCCTCAGCTCCGCGGCCGACCCCGCGGGCCGCCCGGCCCCACCTGCACC